CCCCCAGCAGGGCAGAGCACGGTTGCCATTGCTGGCTGCTTCCCTCCAGAGCCCCAGTTGTCCGATCCAGCGCAGACCACATCGCTAAGGAGCCTATGCCACTCACAGGGCCAGCGGCTCTAGTGATAAATGCCTCCCCGCCAGCTGGGGAGCCTGGGAAATGGCTTTCTGGCCCTGGCCGGAGCTGTCTGTGCACTCCACCAGTGCTTATCTCTCCAGTACCCCGCGGGATCCCCAGCGCCAGCTCCCAGCCTGCCCCAGCCCTCTCCAGTGGCATAGGAGGCAGGTATTGCAGCCTGCGCTTCTCCACACCCCTTGCAGCCCCAGTCTCTCCCAGATGGTGCAGGAGGCTCGCCCTGTGGAGCATCCCCCACCTGCTTAGCACTGCCCACAGCCTCCCTCTGCGTGGTCTCCACCCGCAGACTCCACTCTACAGGCCTGCAGGGACCTCGAAGAGCTTGCTGATCTGAAGAGCAATTTCCCCTCACATAGCCCTGCTCCAGAGCCCAGATCAGCACCACTTCCCGTGGTAGCGAGGCCTCGCCCACCTCCGCCTTCTATTAGGCATTGCTAGAACTTGCAGGGAAAAGAAGGAGGGAGACATCTAAATATATACATTATATATATACACAAGATATATATATATATCTTTTATCTCTTGCTGATTTCCTCTTTTTTCTCTTTTAATTTCTGTGCTTTCTTCTCTCCCTTCTTTCTTCCTCCTTTTTCACTATTCCTATTACTTCTCTTCTGCCCCTTTCCCATAGGTATTCCTTCTATCTCTTTTTCTCCTTTTCCCACTCTCACTATTATCACTTCTCTTCTCTCCTCTTTTATATCTTCTCCTTCCTTCTCCCTCCATTCTTTTTCTTTTTCCTCCCCCCAATTTTAAAAAAATATTTTTTAATTTTTAACTTTTTCTTTTTTAATACTAAACAACAAAAAAAGGGGGCCTGCTAAGGATACCCTGACAGACCAGGTCAAAGCAGCCAGGAGGCACTCACAGAGGCCCCATCCCCCACTCCAGTCGCTGAAACATCTCACCACTGCTGGTCACTAGGCCTACAGGGAAATCTGCCCACACAGCAGTCTGACACATCCTTAAAGTAGGTCAAAGGCAACCGCCTGAGAGAATCCTTAACAGTAACACAGATAAGGCCACCCTGGCCTCCCAGAAACATGGGCCTATGAAAGGATTGAGGAAAAATCACCAGACCACATCACTCACAACAAAAAAACCAGAGAGACAAAACATAGTAGGAGAGCTAACGTCTCTCAAAGAAAAAACAGATACATATCTGCCACAGAAGGAAATCTTCAGAAGTCTGCTGGTAGTAATAAAGGAGCTGAAGGAAGCAACCCAGAACAAGGATGCAATAATAGAAGAGATGAAGTCAACAATCGAGGGGATGAAGTCTACCCACCAAAGGGAACTGCAGGAGCTAACAGAGGAGGTATCAGAAGCCACACACAAGGTCACAGAATTTACGATTAGGCTTGAGGAGGCAGAGAACCATATCAGCAAGCTCGAGGACACTCAAAGAGACCTAAGCAAGTGAGAAAGACAGCCAGATAGGAAAATTAAAGAAATAGAAGATAGCTTGAAATCAATGACAGATGCTATGAAGAGGAATAATCTTCGTATTATCAGTCTACATAAACTCAACACAACACACAAGTCAACAACCAAGATAGCAAAGGAATTCCTGGAAGAAAACTCTCCCATCCTAACAACAGAGAACCAGGCACTCATACAGGAAGCAGAAAGGACGCCAGGTAGACTAGACCCCAAGAAGAATACGCCAAGACATATAATAGTAAAAATATCCACCTTCGAGGAAAAAGAGAAAATTTTATGAGCAGCAAGAGAAAGGAAGACAATCACATACAAAGGAGCACAGGTAAGAATATGCTCAGACCTATCAGCAGATACCATGAAGAGGAGGAGAGAATGGAGCAACATCTTCCAAAAGCTGAAGGAAAAAAATCGACTCCCCCAGAATCCTGTACCCTGCCAAGTTATCCATTAAGATGTATGGTGAGATAAGGGTCTCCCAGGACAAGGAAAGACTCAACGAATATGCTGCAAAACACCCGAACCTGCGGAAGATACTGGCTGACTCACTATGGCCAGAGGATCAGCCTCC